TCTATATCTGGCAATGGGCCTTTGATGAACTTGGTTTCTACTATTGTAGCACCAGTTTTCTGTAATATTTAATCTGTATATTTTGCTTTTGTCCACAAGCTATGCCCATTTTTATTTTTTTTTCATTCAACACAAGCTGTTAAGTCACTATAGAAATATTAGGATAACTTTAAATAAACTAAAAATTAGAGGACAAAAATAATACCAATACTCCTCCTTTTTCTTCAAATGCATAAATTTAAAGAATCTCAAAATCTCTTCTATATTATTGCTTTTGGTAATGTCTGTATTACCTTACCAATAGGACCCTACTTGGCCCCCAACCTTGCTTTCAGAGAACTCATTGAACAATAGGTGGTTGGATATCATTTCATGGGCAGCTAGGTGATGCAGTGGATAACGTGCTGGGCCTGGAGGCAGGAAGACTTATCTTGGTGAGTTCAAATGTGACCTCAGACCCTTACTAGCTGTGTGACCCTGGGCAAGTCACATAACCCTGTTTGCCTCAGTTTCCTCATCTGTAAAAGGAACTGGAGAAGGAAATGGCAAATCATTCCAGTATCTTTGCCAAGAAAATCCAAAATCAGGTCATGTAGAGTTAGACATGACTGAATATCATCATCATCATCATATCATTTCATAATCATACTAGGGAAAACTAAATGAGATAAAATTGATTGAACAAATTGGGTGATGAATCCATATTTACTTAATTCTGTGCCATTCAATTCCATTCTACCATAACTTGGAAAAAAGCTAAGACCATAAGATTTCTCTACATTTTCATTTTTATATGACACACAGTTTAAAAATAAAAATGCTCTCAAAGAATAACTTCTCCTCAACTTCCTGTAATAAATGCAGAGATACAATATTTCAATGGATATGTGATTTCATCATGTAGGCATTTTCTCTGTCAGCATAAACTGCAACCCATCTAGTGTCTATCATCAACTATAAAGCCCCAGGATCAACTCTGAGACCATAAAAGTTCTTTCAAGATAGAAGGATCACAAATTTACAACTAGAAGGGATGTTAGAAGTTATCTAATCCAGAGCTGTCAAATTTAGGCCCAAACCAGATGAAAATGTAATTGGGAAATGTTTAACAACATAAATAAAAATACAACACAAACAATGTTAATTTGTGGTTTTTAAGTCAATATGTAACCTATAGGGATCCAAGATCCATTTCTATTTGAATTTGACGTCACTGATCTAATCCAACCTCCTAATTTCACACTTGAGGAAACTGAGGCCCAGAAAGATGATTTGTCCAAGGACACACAGTAAGTAGCAGAGTTATACCCTTATTTATTCCTTCTTTAATGACTCTGTGTACCTGAAATACAGTTTTCTCTGATAAGGGTTTGGAATCTAAGATGTGTAAATAATAAATAAAGGGTATGAGCTTTAATATGAAGGTCACATATCCATTTAAACATATTGTGGAGTTTAGTTTAAGGTGTTGATCTAAGCCTAATTTCTGCCAGACTACTTTCCAGAGTTTTGTTGTGTTTAATGGTCTTAGGAGAAGACAAAAACAGGAGGCAGGCAGGGGTCTTTACTAGAGAGGAAAGGAGAAGGAAGAAGGAAATTGCTACTGTATAACAGAGGTACATAAGATGAAGAATATATATATATATATATATATATATATATATATATATATATAATATATATAAAACTGTTGAGGAAGGAGTGATAGGAAGGGTCATCCCATGAACCTCATTTTCATCTGAATTAAAAGAAGATTGAATACACTTACTCCATCACACACAGTGATCTTGGTATAGAAACACATTAAATTCAAAAAGAAAATAGATGGGAACAGGGACAAGGGAGGGCTAGAAAGGATGTAACAGAAAGGCAAAGGATAGTTATAAGGGAAGTAAGAGAATAGTCATAAACAAAACATATTGGAGGAAGGAACATGAAGGGAAGATTAAAAGGAAAGGAAGAAAAGAGTAAAAATCTGGGATTGGGGTGGGGTAAGGAGAACAGAAAAGCTGTTAAGAGAGGAAACAGCCTGTTTTACAAGATCATGAGTCAAGTATATTTCCTCTCTTCTACCACTATCTTATTTATAAAGAGGGAGGTGGGAATAAAGAGTACAGGTACAAGAGGACAGGACGGAGGGACACAGCCATTAGATTTAAATTAAATAATTAATTTATACACAATTAACCATCGTAACTGTGATTGTAAATGGGATGAACTCACCTCTAAAATGAGAGAAGACAACAGAATGGATTTAGAAAGCAGTATTTAAAGCATTAATTGTTCATATGTAAGTTGGACTAATATAACAAAATGGCAATGATACCTAAATTAATTTACTTATTTAGTACTATACCAATGAAATTCCTAAAAGATATTTCATAGAACTAGAAAAAATAATAAGAAAATTCACATGGAAGAAAAGGTCAATAACTTCAAATGCAATAATAAAAAAAAAAGTAGGAAGGAAGTGGGTATGTGACTACCAGATCTCAAACTTTATTACAAAATGGCAATCATTAAAAAGATTTGATACTGGTTAATAAAAAGAAAGGTTGATCAGTGAAACGGGTTAGGTTCTACAATTTTCTCTAGTAAAGACCTCATATCCAATATATATAAAGAACTGATTCAAATTGATGTGATGAAGAGCCATCCCTCAATGGATATCATATCAAAGGATATGAAGAATGAATTTTCAAAGGAAGAAATCCAAACTATCAACAAGCATGTGAAAAATCACCAATCACCAATCACTAATAGTTAGAGAAATACCAATAGAATGACTTTGAGGTCCAACCTTGTGCTTCTCAAATTGACATAGATAACCCAAGAAGAAAATCACAAATGTTGGAAGGGCCATGGGAAAATGGGCGCATCACTGCTCTACTGGTAGAACTGTGAGTTGGTTTAGACGCTCTGGAAAGCAATTTGGAACTATTCTCAGAGAGGTTCTAAATGCCCTTTGTCCCAATTATACAATTAAGCTTCTACCCCAAAGAACACACAGAGAGAAAGGATCTAGATGTACAAAAATATTTATGGCAGCTTATTTCATGGTAGCCAAGGATTCGAAACTAGCAGACTGTCCTCTTATTGGAAAATGACTAGACAAATAGTGCTACATGAATGTAATGAATTATAATTGTGCCCTAAGAAAAGATGAAATGGGCAGTCTCAGAGAAAACTGGAGTGATTTTTATGAACTGATGCAGAGCACAGTGAGCAGAGCTAGGAGCACAATTTAGATGATGATAACAATATTATAGAGAAAAACAACTTCGACACTATTTAGAACTCTGTTCAATTCAATGATAAACCATAGGTCCAAAAAAATGAAGCTGAAACAGTCCACTTAACTTCTGACAGAGAGGTGAAGAAGTTACAATGCAGAAAGGAACAAACATTTTCAGACATAGCTAATACAAGAATTTGTTTTACAAGACTATGTAGATATTTATTGAGGGATTTGTTTTTAGTTTGTTCTTAAATTTGTTTAATGAAGAGGGTAATGAGAGGAGCAGATGAAAAATATTTGGTACCTAAAAGAACAAAATAATGAGATTGCTGATCTACTGTGATACCAATAATTAATTAAAATTACGATGTTATGTGTGATTTATATGTTAATGAGCTCCCTCTTCCCTGACAGATGGACTGAATTTAATCTTGGGAGTTCTGTCTAATAATTATATCTATGGTACATTTCCCTCAGTTACATGAAGTTCATAATGTGGCTTGTGTCTCTTAAGTGTCCTCTGCAAGCATAATGAGTCCAATGGAGTAAACATAGGAAAGATTATTAATGACACATAAAGATTGGTGGCTATATCAAAGCCCCCGAAACAAAGCATATATATATGTGTGTGTGTGTGTGTGTGTGTGTGTGTGTGTGTGTGTGTGTATACACACACATATATACACACATATATATACATATATATATACACATATATATATGCATATATATTATATATATATATATATATATATATATATATATATATATATATTTGAAATATCAAGTTATAATCCTCTATCTGGTTTGGAGCTCAGTTTCCTTTTTCCCCAAGAGGTTTAATCTTAGTCACTGCAAACTCAGCACCAATAGGTGAAGTTCTAGTAGTGTGAATGGAGTCAAGGGTCTGGATGGAATGTAGCTTCTGCCTCTTTCTACCTACCTATTTCCTTATGGCTCCTGCTGATTTTCTTGCTCCAGACTCACTCCCAGGGTAATAGCTCTTGGCTGACATCTCTTAGCATATATCATAATTTTCAGTGCATTCAGCTTGAAATTCCAGATTATTGTAGCTCCTGAAGGTCCCAGTTTAGCTCTGAAACGTCATGGTTTCACTTGGTTACTAGTTCTAGGTTCCTCTCTCTTTACTGTGGCCCGATGGCCACAGTTCATGGCTTTACATGTATATATAGAGGCCTTTTTCCAGTCACTCACTATAAGTAGGACTCCTTTGAAGACTGTGGATTTCTTTTCAATTGAATCCTCAAAGTACACAATTGCTACATATGCGAAACATTTTTTAAAAATTTTTGAAGTGCTTGCCCTCCCTCTTCTTTTTTCCAAGTGGCACAGCAGATGAAATATTGGGTTCAATCAAGAAGGGCTGAGTTCAACTTCTATCTCAAACAATTACCGGTTGTGTAACCTGGGACAAATCACTTAACTTCTCTTAGTGTTGGGTTTCCTCATCTGTAAAATTGGGATAATAATAGCATCTACCTAAAGTTGTTGTGAGTATCAAATGAGATAACATATGTGAGGCACTTTGCGAAACTTAAATTGCTATATAAATGCCAGCTATTATTATTGTTATTCAACAAAATTTTTAAAAGTAGATTAAAGTTTCTTAATACAAATTAACACTCACTTGGTCTGTGGACCAATCTAATTATGTCATGTATTCCAGCAAATACTAAATACTTACGGGGGAATATCTGTGTGGTTGTGTTTCATAAATATGTGATTATTCTTCTATTTTTAGATTATTTGAAAGAAAACCTACGTAAATATATGAAAGAAAAATTTCCTGAAAATGTTAAATTAATAAGAAATGACAAACGAGAGGGACTGATTCGAGGAAGAATGATCGGAGCAGCTAATGCTACAGGTATGACGTACTGTGTATTTTTTTCCTTGCGTAAATGGCCATGTATATCTCAGACACAGTGTGTGGGTATATTTAAAGTCCACTAGTGCCTCCTTTGTCTTCGTTTAAAGAGATAGACATCAGGAGATGCACCCAACCTTTGAATAGCTCTGAAAATGGATTCTGGCCCACCCCATAGATGTTTGGGACTTTAATCAGGATTTGTTGCATGGCCAAGCTCAGTAGTCCCATATGCTATTATTTGCCTTTCACATAACATCAACCTGGAATAAGCAGCAGTTAATGCTAAAATGTAACTGAACACTGTTGCTTTGATTTGGTTGATCTGGAGCATTAAAATGTGTGTGCTTCCATTGCTCAGACATGGCCAATACATTCTGTGACCTTGCATTTAGGGCCAACTTTCCCCAAGTTAGAGATAATCTGCTTTCCATTTGGAGGCATGATTCCTCTCATATGCAAATCTGAGTAAGAGATAATTATAAGATTTGACTGACTCATCCTTGCCAAAAGACAGTTAACTTAAGTGTGTTTTTAATTGTAAAAGGCTTTGGAAAATAGGACTGATTTTTGTCATAGGCAAGAGTATTGCCAACTGTACCAAATACAAATTGCTAGCGACAGATTCTGTGCCATTGGGTTGTGAGGAGGTGGATTAGAGAAGAGGGAATGAGTCTGAAAACAAATTAACGTGAAGTGAAATTTTATTTTTACTTCACTTTCTTTGACTCATTTACCTGAATGCTCTTCATGACTTTTTGCCTGAACAGCAAGAAAAGTTACTAGTTCTTAATGGCTTAGATTCAGTTTAGTTTTTCAAATCAAATATTTTCTAGGCATCTGCTGTGTGCCATTCTTAGCCTTCAATTGTCCTCTATATCCAGACTCTTAATCTCCTAAAATGCACTGGAAAATTATCACCCTGTGTCTTAAAAACTACCTCTGTGCTTACTATTACTTCTCTGCCTTTCTTTGCTTTTCCTTCACCAAATCTTGTTTCTGAATTCTGATATTCCCTAAGGATATTCTGAATTGAAAATTTAAAAATTTCCTTGTTGGGGGTTAACAGAAAGGCCTGGGACTTTAACTATTTCTTCAATAATCCTTTTGTAATGTTGAATTCATTTTCAGAAGTATATCCTACAGATAAAATTCTATCAATCTTTTCCCCTCTTAGTCTAACCAAGACAGGATGAGGTTAAAATGAGGAAAAAGAAAAGTATCCCATTAATTTGTGGCAGTTAAAACAACATGTGGTTAGACTTTAATCACATTGGCCAAAAATCATTGGTTTGGTTTTTGGTATTGTTTGTTTATTCCATCTCCTAGTAAAAAGTTAATCTTGAATAAATTCCAACTCAATAAACAGTTATGTACTGCGTATTTGTGTGATAAATGCTATAGATAGAAAGATGAATTAAACCCAGTCCCTTTTCTCAAGGTGTTTACAGTCTAGTAGAGGAGATGACAAGGATCTGCGTATCTATAGTACAAATTAGGACCTAGTTCCAAAAACAAGATACTCCATCTCTTGGCTCTAGACATTTTCTCTGGCTATCCCTTGTGCTTGGAATGCTCTCTTTCCTCATCTCTGGCTCCTGGCTTCCTTAGCTTCCTTCAAGTCCCAACCAAAATCTCATCTATTACAGGAAACCTTGTCTGATTCTTCTTAATTTTAGTGCTTCCTTCTGTTAATTATTTCCTATTTATCTTGTATATAACTTATTTGAACATATTTGTTTGCCCTTTCCCATATTAGACTATGAGATCCTTGAGGTCAGGGCTTTTTTTTTTTTAATCTCTAGCACTTGGCATAGTTCCTGGCACATAATAGTACATAGTAGGTGTGCACTAAGCACATAGCAGGTGCTTAATAAATGTTTATTGACTGACTGACTGGCTGACTGACTGGCAAATGTCTAAGGGAGTTCCAGAAAAAGTGTTATGAGAGCTTTGACGGGCTTCATTATAGAAACAGCACCTGAGTGAGTCTGGAATGATAGAAAAGATCTCAACAGGTGGCAATGTGAGCAAGAGTGGAACTGAAGAAATTTCAGTAGTGAAGAATAGTATGCTTCCCTTAGATTAAGAGAAAAGGAGATTTCCCCACCTTTAGGAATGTAACTAAGAAGGTTAGAGGGTCCTAACAAGCTAGACGTGTTGGTCACAGTGGTTGTTCCAGCTCAGGACTTAGAAGAAGCCAGCCTAGAGAAAGAGGAAAAACAAAGGTAATTGGAAAGAAGTAGGGTATTTACATATGCTAATCCCTTCTTCCCTGAGGCAAAACTATTCCCAAGGCTTCTAAAACCATAAAATAGTGCTACAAAATGAGTAGACACTTGCTCTTTAAAGAAAAGCTATGGCAAATCTGGACAGCATACTAAAAGGCAGCTATATCACCTTGCCAACAAAGGTCTGTATAGTCAAAGCTATGGTTTTTTCCAGTAGCGATGTATGACTGTGAGAGTTGGACTATAAGGAAAGCTGAGTGCCAGCAGAATTGATGCTTTAAATTGTGCTAGAGATTTTTGAGAGTCCCTTGGACAGCAAGAAGATCAAATCAGTCAATACTTAAAGAAATTAATTCAGGCTATTCGCTGGAAGGTCAAATACTGAAGCTGAAGCTTAAATATTTTGGTCACATAACGAGAAGATGGGACTCATTGGAAAAGACCCTGGTGTTGGGAAGGATTGAAGACAAAAAGAGAAGGGGATGGCAGAGGATGAGATGGATAGATAAAATAATGGAAACAATAAACATGAACTTGGACAGACTTTGAGAGATGGGGGAGGATAGAAGCACTTGGTGTGCTGTGGTCCGTGGGATCACAAAGAGTTGGATAGACTGAACAATAACAATATAATTTAGGGTCTTTGGAAGACAGATTTTTTTTTTCAATTACTAGTCCAAAGACATGGGGTCAAGAGGCTTTTGTACAGTTTTCAAATCTTTGCTTCTTTTGTTTCTTGAACTTGAGCCATATTTACCAACTTATTTTCACCATTCTCCCCTTGCCCACCTTTATATCAAAGTCATCAAGCTTTATAGCTTAGGTTTGATTAAGTCAGAAGGCTTTGAGTTATTCATAGCATTTCTCTACCTTGTTATCCTTTGCGACAGATAATTGGTACGTAAATTATAATGATCCCCATGGTGATCTTTGGGCTTAGTATTCATCATGAGTATTACAAGGCAAGATGGCTAAGTGTTCTATGAAATGATTTTTGTTGTTACCCTTGTATGCCCAGTGGAGCCAACTCCATGGACTTCTTTAGTTGCTTCTCCATGGAAAACATATATAGATTTCCATTTAGCTGCACTGTCCTTATATTGTTCCTCTCCCTATTCCCACAAATGAGTGATAGAACAGAGAGACAAATGCTTACCAAATATGTTTGCCACGCTCGTGGAGAATGCCTTGCACAGAGTGGATTTCCTTTAGCTGGTGGGATCCTTCAGATACTCTTATTTGTGGATTACATTGTTTTGATTGCATCAAACCCCAGAACACTATAGTTTCTTTAATAAGATTTATACCGCTTCAAAGAATTATCCCTAACACAGGCATTGGATATATAGCCCCACTGAGCTGCCCCACAAATACATACAGCTTGGAAAAACACTTCACATGAACAGTGAATCTCTCTAAAATTAAATAGGTATGAGATAAAAAGGGGCAGCTAGGTGGTGCAGTGGATAGAGCACCAGCCCTGAAGTCAGGAGTACCTGAGTTCAAATCCTGCCTCAGACTAAACACTTGACACTTACTAGTTATGTGACCCTGGGCAAGTCAGTTAACCCTGATTGCCTTTAAAAAAAAAAGATAAAAGGTGATTTTCCTCACATCTAGAAGCATTGTTAGGCAAATCAGAATAGTTCTATGAACATTGACTCTGTGTTAGACTCCCTTTAGTTGACTACAGTGGTGGAAGAGGGTAGGTATATCATTTATGTCCTACATAATGCATAATTGATGCAATGGTCTACATAATGCATAAGTTTTACATGATGCAACAGTGAAGGAAACACCTCAACTATTACCCTAAATTATTGACAAACATTCGAGTGTTTACCCTATGCAATCTACTGTGCTCAGCACTAGGGAGAGCAAGGAAGAAATGTGAGACATAGTCCCTGACCTCAGAGAATTACTGGAGAGGTAGCAGTGACTGGTGCACCCCATCATTGCTATTGATACCTCTATGGATCCCCCTCCACACTGATCTTGATTCTGGAGGAAGCGGACTCTCTTGGGAGGTAGTGGGAAGCCTTTAAATGGAGTCAGGATGACAACTTATCAGGAGTGTTGAGGACAGAATTCGTGGTCAGGTATGGGTTGGATGAAGCAGACCTATGAAGTCCCCTCTAAATCTGAGATGGTGATTCTCTTATCTGATGAGGTAGCCTGCTGCTTAGCAACTTTGAGGAGTTTCTGAAATGATGCTGACATACATTGGATCCCCATCTTTGTGTGGAGTCAGACAACCAGAGGAGTTGCCAGCTCTAACATTGGTGCTGGAATCAGTGGTAGAGTATATGAATGTATTCCAGGTCCTGTCTAGAGTTTATTATGGAATCAGCTGGCTTTAATTGAATAATTTGTCAAAGGGTGCTTACATCCAAACTGAGATGGCAAAGACCAACAACTCCTCATCTATAAAATGAAAGAGTTAAGGAGAGAAGGGAAAAAGGATTTATATAGTACCTACATCAAATGAGATAATAATTACAAAGTGTTAGTGCCTGGTACATAATAAGCACTATAAAAATGTTAGCTATTATTATAAGTGCTTTACAAGTATTACCTTATCTGATCCTCACAACAACCTTTTGGGGTAGGTGCTATTATCATCCCCACTTTATATTTGAGGAAACTGAGACAGATAGAGGTTAAATGATTTGCCCAAGGTCACAAAACTAGTATGAGGTCAATTTGAACTCAGATCTTCCTGCCTTCAGGCTCAGCATTCTACCTACTCTACCACCATCTGATATAATTCCCAAGGCCCCTTCTTTACTCTAAATCTATGATCCTATGAAACACAGTCCCAAATCAGGACAAACTTTAATTGACTGGCCTGTTCTATGATCATGGAAATCTTGCCTTTTGACTTATACAAGTTTGTGGAGCTTGGAGAAAGGGTTAGTCTAACTCAAAGTAGCACCAGCTAAATTGGACCCACATCTTCCCAAGATGGTGAGCTTTTACTATAGATTCCTGGGAGCAGTACTTCAGCTGGCTGCCTACCCAGAAACTTAAGGAGAACCCTACTGACCTCTCCTCCCTGTTCTGCACACACGGTGCTCCACCTCATATCTCCATGGATTTGCATTGGACAGTCCTCATAAATGGAAAACACTTCCTCCTTACTTCCACTTCTCAGAGTCCCTGGTTTCTTTCAAGACTCACTCAAGCTCCACCTTCTTCATGAAGCCTTTTCTAGTCCCTTTCCATCCAGCTACAAAGGCACCTCCTCCCCAAACTACTTTGTATTCATTTTGTGTATATGCCATATATAAACATGTATATATACATGTATATTATATACGGAGGAGTTGTCTCCCCTATTAGAATGTAAATTCTTTGAGGGCAAGGAACTGTTCCAGTTTAGTCTTTGTGTCCCATCACTCAGTACAGTTTCTTTCATGTAATAAGCATTTAATAAGTATTGATTGATGGCTTGACATGACTACAAACAAATTAACCTAATCTCTCATATTTCCAGTCATCCAGTTGCTATGGTCACTTAGTTCTCAGGAATAATCACATTTAGCTCTCCATGTTGCCATGGGAACTTTGGAAGAATCAGACACAGAGGTACCTGTGTAACTAAATTGGAATATGGCTTAAATTCATTAAGAGAGTTTTGTATGCCAACGTATAAGCAACAATTCCATTCAGAAAGAATTTTTGACTAAACTTCCCACATTGGACCTGATTTGTGATGGGTAGTTTTGTTCATATTTAACATTTTATTCTGAGATATATATGTATATGTATATACATATATGCAAAAGCAGTTGAATGACAATAGAGGATTTCATTAACCATGACACTTTTCAGCTTAAAAATTTTTTTTCAGGGGCTTCACATTACCCACAGGACAAAGCTTGAACTCTTCTGATCTGGCATTCAAAGCCTTCCACATTTTGCCCCCAATTTTTTATCTCCTACTCTTTCCTAATACAAACTCCACTCTAGCCAGGCTACTCTGATGATGATATTGCCTAAAGAAGATAAATTCATTCTTACCTTGTTACCTTTGCTTTCCTTCCATAAAAATGTTCTTTACTCTTTTCTCTACCCCACTTGGAATTAATTCTTTCTGCCATCTAACTAGTCCCATTCATCCTTTAAGCGCCTGCTCAAATCTTCCATTCTCATCCAATGCAAGTTCCCTGAGAACACAAATGGCCTTGCTTGTATCCCTGGTGCTTGGCACAATGCTTTGCTCATGATACTTGATAAATGTTTTTTTCAATAATTCATTCATTCATTCCATCCTTCAAGAAACCTCCTTTGACTGGAGTGATCTCTCTCTTCTATATTATATCATATCACACAGTTTAGACTTCATTCTGTAATGTCATTATTATTTTCTGTTTGTTTCATATGTGTTAGACATATTACCATAACTAAATTATGAGCTCTTAGTGAGCAAGGATCTATGAAGCTTCTTTTGTATTTTCCAAAGCATTTAGCACAGTATTTGGTACATCTAGGGCAATACTCTAATTATTTAATTGATTCAAATCCTTTCAAGACCTAACTCAATTCCTATTTCATCCTCCTCCATTCCTGCCCACTGTAACCTTTCTCTTTTCTGAAGCTCTATGGTACTTATTATCTATATTATTTTTGCACTTAATGTTAATGGCATATAACTTTGCATTTTTTGTTTTGTTATTTAACTGTTGCAAAGTCCTTGAATACAGGGTCTGTGTCTTATAATTGTCTTAAACTCTTACAACACTGAGAGCTCCTTGAGGGAAGATACTGTTTTTATCTTTCTTCATATCCCCAGCACTTAGCACAGTGCTTGGCACACATCAGGTGCTTACTATATGTTTATTGTTTTGCTGATAATACAACATGTAGCAGGTGCTCAAGAATGCCCATTGAATCGAATTGTATTTTGTTTTGTTTCGGGTTTTTTGCTAGGCAGTGGGGCTAAGTGACTTGCCCAGGGTCACACAGCTAGTAAGTGTCAAGTGTCTGAGGCCAGATTTGAACTCAGGTCCTCCTGACTCCAGGGCCAGTGGTCTATCAACTGCACCACCTAGCTTCCCAAATCTAATTGTATTTTAACCTGGGTATTTTGGATTGAAGGAATAGTAGCATCCAAGGTGAATGTTATTAGGACCTACTAGACCTTTGGTTTTATGTTCCTAGGAGAAGTTCTTGTGTTCCTAGACAGCCACTGTGAGGTGAATAAAATGTGGCTACAGCCCTTATTGTTTGCGATCCAAAAAGACCACAGAATGGTGGTGTGCCCTCTAATTGATGCAATCAGTGCTTACACTCTCAACTACATGCCATCTCCTATCCTCCGTGGAGGGTTCACCTGGAATCTACACTTTAAATGGGAACATGTCCCTCGATCTTACTTACTAGGACCAGAAGGAGCTGCTGCACCAATAAAGTAAGATTTCTCTTAATAGATAGAAAACTAACTAGTGTGTATTTTATAGAAAAGAATGAACTATTTATTACAGAGGCAATTCCTTCAGTTTCTTGTGCTTAAAGAATAGAAAGTGTTAGGATTTCAGATGGATTGCTCCTTCTGAAATTCTTGGTGTACAACTTTTCCAGAAACATGCATTGACCTAACACTTGACAGCCACCTGGAAGGCTTTAGTTCTCTGCACGTTTAACTCAAGATGAACATTATGCTCCAAAATATTCATGCTATTGGTGCCTCATCTAATTTCACAGATGTATGAGTAATTGTTAAAGCATCATTTGAGGCAGAGAAAAGGCCATTGAGTCCAATGCTACCATTTTATAGATGAGCAAATTGAGACACAGAGAGTCTAAGTGATCTGCCCAGGGTTACATAACTAGTGTCTGAGGCAGGATTTGAACTCAGGTCTTCATGTGCAGTGTTTTCTCCACTATGTCACCTAGCTCTCTCTATTTTGGATCTTATATTCAGGTGCATGTGAGCATATTAATCAAATTAGTTATATGGCCCTGTTGCTGTAATTCTGCACAAAAGGTACATCTTGTCAAGGTCAAACAGAGACTTTGTCATCAAGGATTTATGGCCTAGAGTTTGTATTGGAGTTAATATAATTTTCCTAATTCTTGTCTTTGTAAATTTTGTTTGTAATAATGTATGTGGACTTATATACACACACGTATATGTGTAAACATATATATATCATGAAAAATTAATTTGCTGTTAATTCTTTGCTTTAAATGATCTAAGTCTGAAGTTTGTGATTTCTCTGTTACTGAAAGCTTCTGATAGAAATAGCTTCTCATGGAAGCTATAAAAAGTAAAGCACTTTATAGCTAAAGCAATTGCTAGGGGGCAACCTTGGCTAAGTAACACCAAAGCTACATGTAGATTTGAAACAAATACCAGAGGAATGGGATCAGGAATGTTTTCTTTAAAAAAAAAATAGTAAAAGTCAGAGATACTGCACAGGGGAAAGGCCATCTGTGACTATATGGAATTGGTCAAGGAGCTTTCTGTCTTGCAAGAAAGAGATTTTGCATCTTTCTTCACAGGGATGTGAGATGTCAGCCCCCTAAACTGCATCTTTTCTTCTCTCCCCATAAACTTTCCTCTTCCTGCAAGCTGAGAGGAAGAAAGGAGCAAAGCTGTCATAATTCTAGGCTAGCCTCAAACCCAGAAAGCCAAGTTTGTGCTGAGGAGGCTTTTGACAACTAGCTAAAACAGGGTGAATTATAAAGGATAATTCTAATCAAGATTATTGTATTAATATGAGCTTTATAATAAACTGTAAAAGAACAGGTTAAAAGAAAATTTAGGCTAGCTGAGAAAGAAACTTAACTGTATTACATTTTATGCTCTACCCCCCAATCCTTCCTGTTACTCTCTGAGAATGGGGAAGAAGGAAATTGAGGGGAGGGAGAGAATACTATAATGCAGAAGTGAAAGTAGAAGGGGAAGATTGAAATAGTAAGGAGGAAGGGAGGAGGGGAAGAGAAAACCACCTTCCCGAGTAATTAATAAAATATGAGCATTAACTCTTTAAATGGCAAGGTTGGTTTTTTTGTTGTTGTTTTTGTCAATGTGTATAATCTTCTTTGGGTAAGTATATAACACATTTTTAGAACTTCCTATGCTGTTTTTAGACATAACTTTTCTACAGAGATTATCTGATCCACAAAGGGGGTAAGGAGGAAGATTAATTAAAGACTACATAGAAGTAAAAAGCAATTTACTTTTAATATTGTTTTAAAAAGATAAACTCATCCAGTTTTAAAATCAAGATTGGGGAACACAAAAACATACGTATCTGCATGTGTGTATGTATGTGTGTGTGTGTGTGTGTGTGTATTTCATACAGTCAGTTTAAGGAATGATAGAAGGAAAACTAATTGACAGGGGTAGAAGGAAAATATAAGAGGCAAAAGGTACATTGTACTGGATATTAGTGTCTGGTGCAAAGACAGTTTAAGGCAGTAGCAGAAAATCCAGGCTTAGCAATGTTCAAAGTCGTAACTATGGTGCCAGGCAAAAATTAGATTCAAGCAGCTAGATAGTCTAACAGACCTTGCTGAAATAGGACCAAGGATAGCTCCTTAAGAGTTGTGTCAGTAGAAGTTTCATATTCTGAAGCAGTTACCTGCAGAAGTGAAGATAATTTTAATTAAAAGCTGAAGGATAATGTAAGAGCCACCATGAGTTACTTTTGTCATATCCTAAATTCTTTTATGTTGTAGGTTTCAAAGTGCTATCACCTCTTATAATTTCTATTAGAAATGCTCATTAGTTTATTGTAATACTTCCCCCTCCTCCCATTAAGCTTCAAAATCATTGGTTCATTGTGCTTGCTTTACTGCTGCCACTACATCTTCTTCTAACTTCTGTTAAGAATTAACTGTTTTAGCTAGTTGTCAAATGTCTCCTCAGCATAAGTGTGGCTCTCTGGGTTTGAGGCTAATTTAGAATCATTACTCCTTTTCTTCTCTCAGCTAGCAGGAAGAAGAAAGGATATGGAGCAGAGAGAAAAGATGCAGCTTTAAAACATGCCCAGTTTTACCCTTCTGTCATGTTCTGCTATCTTAAACATTTTTCTTGAAAGGGCTTTACTATGACAGAAACATCTCTATCTAATGTCATTAATTGGTTCTGCAAAAACATATTTTAACAGAATTATAGGGGACATTCAATAAGGTAAATATAAATGCTATTGATGTAATGTTAGTGGGTTTTGGTCATACCATATTAATGACATTGTAAAATGGTTTTGAGTAGGAAAACAATTAAGCAGGTTATAGCTATATTTACTGCAGGTAAACAGGAAATTAGCATAATAAACCAAAGGCAAAGTTAAAAAGTTACAGGGAACTAGACTTTAACTTTTTTAATTTAAATTTTCTTTTTATTGAATTTCTTTTTTCCAGATCTTGTCTATAGAGTCAGCCAGTTCACTTCCACATTGGTTGTAAATCAAGCTTAGGTATTTTAGCCAAAATAGATTTGGCAAGGATACTAGGAGTTTCAGACATGCTGAAATCTGCTTTTTAGCCTCAGTTCTGGATGTGTGACCCTTTGGCTTGTTAAAGGTATTTCTAATCTGATTGGCTCTCCAAAAATTATTCCTTTTGGCCTCATAACATCTTTCACAAACATCATGCATTTCCTTGCATCCTAGTCTCTTATATTTTTCCTTCTCTTTGTTTCTCAACTTCTCTTTGAGAACTGCTTTTTTCTATAATTAATTTCTCCCCTCAGTTGCCCTCCCTCTTATTCCTTCATTTCTCTTAACCACTTTCCCTCCTTTTTCCCCGTCCAGTGAAATGTTTTTCTGTACACAACTATGTGAGTGTATTCTCTCCTTTGACCAGTTCAGAGTGAGTTTCAAGTATTGCCTGCTCTCTGCTTCCTCCTTATTCATATAGACTACCTGTATACTCCAATAATGTGAGATTATTTTCCCCATCCTTCCTCTTTCTCCTTACCCCAGTGCATTCCTCTTCCCCCCCACCTCCATTCTTTTTTTTTAAGATCATCAAAACATAAAAGGTTTTCTGCCTGATTAGATTCCCTCTGTGACCCTTGATGATAAAGATCCAAGGGGGATACGTATATTATTTTCATATGTTAGAGTATAAACAATGTATCCTTGTTTAGTCTCTTATGATTGCTCACTTATAGCTAACTTTTATATTTCTCTTATCCCCTATGTTTGTATTTCGATGTTTCTACATAGTTCTGGTCTTTTCATCAGGAATGCTTGGAAATCCTATTTCATTAAAAGTCCATTTCCCCCTGTAAGATTATATTCAGTTTTACTGGGTAAATAATTGTTGGCTGTAAACCGAGATCTTTTGCCTTCTGGAACATAATTCAAGCCCTATGTTTCATTCTAATGGTGATACAGATTAGGTTTTTCACGATTAAATTGTAACTCTTTAAGGCCAAGAATTGTCATATCCCCAGTGATTAGTACAATATCCTAGTGTTGAGGTTAGAGTTAGGAGAGCTGGTTCAGGTGTGAAAGAATTCATCATACTTTCTCTGTAGACATTGGTAATGAGTTCAGGGCATATCCCAAGAATGTTGGGGTGCTGCCTGAGGTGTGAGGAATAGACATGTGTGTCCTAGTATCCTGCAAGAATTTACTTGGACAGTCTGCAAGTTAAAGAAAGGCATTTATTAGGGTGATGCACCCAAGCAGGACTGCTCCCTGTGAGGCAGAGTCCCAGTGGGCTCTACTCTACGTGCCTGGCAGCACATAGACCTCAGGCTCTCCTCCCCTAAGGGAGCAGAGTGGCCCCTGCTTCCCGGAGGAGGCAAAGGCAGTTAGCCAGGTAAAAGGTATGGTTTAAATACAATTTTATGTAATAGGAGGAAGGGGACAAGAGAATGAGAGGAGCACCATGGTTCCAAAATGCCTGGGATGTCAAGTAGTCCGGAGGTGATAAACAAAGAGGACAGGAATGGGGGGAAAGAATTGTTCTGGAATTGAGGGTGCTTTGTGAAAGCACACAGATAAATCCACAGTGGGGGCTCCAATGCATAGTTTTCTTTGATCACTTTTCTGTCTGGTCACATCCTGCATCTTATCTCCTATCTCACATTCTGCTTGCTCCATCTGCCTCAAGCTCTCTTTTCTACCTCACCACTAGAATATAGTAATGCATACTGATTGACTGGCTTCTATAGGTGGCTTCTAAATCTTGAATGATTCTGATTTGAGTCCCTGGTACTTGAATGCTTTATAGCTGCTTGCAGTAGTTTTTCTTTAACTTGAAAGCTCTGAATTTTGGCTATAATTCCTGGGAGTTTTCATTTTGGGGTTTCTTTAAGGAGATGACTAATGGATTCTTTCTATTTCCATCTTGCCCTATCGTTCTAAGAGATATTAGCAGTTACCTTTTATGATATCTTGAAATGTGATGTCTAGGTTTTTTTTTTCTGGCCTGAGCTCTGATCCAGCA